CTCCCCCCTCCTTGATGAAATTCACGCTCGCGCTACGTGACCTAAAATCACCGCAGACTGAAGGAAACAAGAAGTGAACAACAAGAAGCGAGTCCAAAAGTCTTTCGTCCAACATTCTACGGGGCACCAAGGATCCCAACAACAATCCTGACTGTCATAGATCTCAAGTCCCGCTGTGTAATCTGCCAATTGCTAGTCATTCCACGTCTGCTAGTCTCGCTCTGGTTGTCATTTCCCTCATTTGCATGGAGCTATACTGCATGGAGCGATACGTAGGCATGGAGTGTTCTCAGTGTCCGCGGTAACTCGGAGCCGTGTGGATGGGGTGTGTGTCTCAAAGCCCGGTCCCTTGTCCTCAAACAGCAAAAGATAATAATGGATTGCATTTTTATAGCGCATGTATCTCGGCTTGAAAGTAAGGTGGGTGGTTGGCGGGTGCTCCGGTGTTGTTTGCTCCTTCTTTCCTATCAAACGGCTACCCTCTAGTAATACTTCCTCTAATCTTGGGCACTTATATGACGTTATTGTGTTGCAAATGCCATAAAACTCTTACTAAAACAAAACTAAAGATTTTATTGTGTTACTCTTACTAAAACTATACAAAAAAAACTTATTGTGTTGCTAGTGCCGTAAAACTCTTACTATAACTATACTAAAGACCTTATTATGTTGACTCTTACTAAAAACTAAACTAATGACCTTATTGTGTTGCAAGTGCCGTAAGGCTCTTACTAAAAACTTAACTAAAGACCTTATTGTGTTACAAGTGCCGTAAAACCCTTACTAAAACTAAAACTCTCTCTCTCTTCCCCCAGGTTCGTGGCGGTCTCCACGATGGACATCGAGTTTGAGCGGCTGGACATGAACCAATGCCCCATCATGCAGGGTAACCCCGGACCCAACGCCTTCGCCGGCACGGCACGCTGCCGACCCACCACCGCGGTGAGTGACCCCATTGTTTTGGGCAACGGATTGTGTATTGTTGTGTTCTTCCTATTTGCTTTTCCAGAACGTCGCCTCAGAACTAGATCTATTTTGTCCAAAGTGTACTTTAAGTCCTGCCGTTCATTCTGCCTGCCTGAGTTGTTTTGGTTCCAAGCCAGGTTTCTACACGTCCTGTTCCCATCTTCTGTTAGGTTTTGTTTCCTGTCTTGCCTTCTACCTTTGCTTCCAGAATATTCGAGAAAATAATTCTGAAACTGAAACTAGGCAACTTTGAAGATATTATACATGTATCATGGCGTTTGATATATATTCAAAGTTGTCTAGTTCCGTTGTGTACAGGAGGATTGTTGGCATTTCTTTACCTGTTCTGTTTAGTACTTCGTCATGTATTGTAAACTTCATAAAGTGGATGGTTGGCGGGTCCTCTGGTGTGGTTTGCTGCTTCTTCTTTCCTATCAAATATCTGTTGTCCTGATCTCTCCTTCTGTTTTTGTGTGTGTGTTACTCTCTTGTAACACCTCTAATCTTCGGCACTTATATGGCCTTATTGTGTTGCAAGTGCCGTAAAACACTTACTAAAAACTAAAACTAAACTCAGAACTATTTTGTTTAGCCCCCACCAAGGCAGTGCTGCTGACTGAAGTTGTCTTAAGGCCATTCCCAAAGGGGGGATATTAGCATGTCGCAACCTCAGTGCTTCCTTGTCATGTCTCCATTTTTTTCCCAAACATTGAAAATGTGACTTATTCTTAAACCCACCCTTTGTTATGAACTGTTTTCACTGTTATTAAAAATGGAGACACGATGTTCTTATGCACCGTAGAATTGTAAATGGGCTGATTTATCCATGTCGTGCTCATACTGTGCCGGAACAACATAAGGGGAACTGCTGTTTTTTCTTTCCTCATCCTTATTATCGTAATTTTTCCTCTACTTTTTTGTATGTTTGTCACTGTCTTGCGAACTGCTATTTCCGGGGTGCCTTGACTGTCGAAGCAGACTTTGTGCTGTTGAGGCAAGAGAGGTGAGCAGAGTAAGCCTGATTCCCCATTTGGACTTCTCTGTTGACATTCACCCCTTTACGCTCATAAGACCTTATGCAGCTGTGAGCTCCGTAGTACCTTACTAAAACCTTACTGAAACTAAAACTATCAGAACTATTTTGTCCAAAGTGTACTTAAATAAAGATGCACTTTGGACGAAATAGTTTTGAGGCAACGAGTAGTTGGACGTTCCCTCTTGAACCTTCCTGCAATAAAACACCCTGTCTCTTGCCTTTCATTCTGTCTGCCTGAGTTGTTTTAGTTCCGAGCCAGGTTTCTATAACGTCCTGTTCCCTTCTTCTGTTAGGTCTCTTTTTCCTGTCTTGCCTTCTACCTTTGCTTCCAGAATATTCGAGAAAATTATTCTGAAACTGAAACTAGGCAACTTTGAATATATGCCATGGCGTTTGATATAATATATTCAAAGTTGCCTAATTCCAGTTTCATTGCGTTCAGGATTGCTGGCGTTTCTTTACCTGTTGTTCTGTTTGGCACTTGGTCATGTATTGTAAACTTCATAAATTCAATGTAGGCCTACTCCTGATCTAACGTTCACTCGGTTTTAACGAACGGTTGCTTTTGCTTTCTAGAGAATTATCTAGGCACAGTAGTAGGTCAAAGGTATGTGAAGATTTCTTTCTATTTACCCCGTCCTCTGAAAACAATGCAATATTTGTGTGTGTGTGCGTGTGTGCGTGTGTGCGTGTGTGTGTGTGTGTGTGTGTGTGT